TTTTTTTTACATTTATTACCTTTAAAATACAATTCTAATAATAATGAAAATAACATAAGATTATTTAATTTTAATGTGACAAATGTGCACGATTTTCTTTGCACAACTTTGTAAAATCTGGTTGCTTTTTGGTCAGCTTCAGTCTCGAGTCGTCATCGAGTCGAAGTCGGTGACGATGTTTAGTTTTCATGTTTGTCATGGCCGAAAATCCTCTCTCGCAGAGGTATGTTGTGCAAAATGGTAGTAAATATTATTTTTAGTTATAAATAAATGAATTTGTGCATTCGACATCATGTTATAAATTGCCGAATTTTTGACGGTCCACCCATTATTTTTTTTATTTGCTTCATCTCATGCATTTAAATTTTAAATCGATCGATTTTAAATTGCCGCGCGTACCCCTTCATGCAATTTCGCGTACCCCCAACGTACCACTAATTGGGAACCACTGGTATAGATGAACTGTAACTGTAACATATATGAAACTGCAAAAGTCGGATCATTTACACAACTATATTAAATATAACCACCGCAGGGATATATAAATTAATGAAATCCTAACTGCCGGATATACAGTAATTGACTCTGCCCATTAAATGTACAATGCAGTATTTCTCTCCAACTGACTGTTACAAGACACTACACAAATTCCTAAAAGATGATCGGTATTATAAGGCTTGAGTCAAATATTGCCAAGATCTCCATGAAAGATAAATTAAAAACGCTTTATAATAGACTTGACAATAAAATAAGGCAAATAGAATTATAGAAGATGAAATAGAAGATGAAGGTGAAAAAGACACGATAAATGGTTCCACATTAATAGAACAAAGAAGAGATAAGTACGATTTAATTATAATTAAATCGTACTTATCTCTAAATTAAACAGTAAGAGTTATCTGCTATTGTATGTAATTATAATTTTCGTGTTATTGTTATGTAAAGTTATTTATGTCTGTAACATAATTTGTAAACACTTTTGTACATAAAATGAGGGGTCAGAGGGTTACAGACACAAGATATCTCATGGATCTCTTTCTCCTCTATTTTCTATTTCTATTCTTTCCCGACTTTTTTTTTGTTTTTAAGGCTATACTTGTCAATGCGTTTGTTACTACTATTCTACTATTGTTTGTGGTAATTGTATTAGTACAAACAATAGTAGTTTGTAATTAACTAATTGTAGTAGTTGTAGTATTGTTATTAATACTACAACTACTACAATTATCATAACTACCCGACAAGTAGACAAGTTATTTACTGTGATGTGAGATATTAATTTTCTACATTTAACTGTCTTTTATCACTACTATTAAATATTTATTTTAATTAATTTATTATGAAATTTGTTATCTATATTATTTATAAAATATGAATTTGTATTTCATGAAATTATACAAACATCAATGAATCAAGTTATGATTCCTTAATATATATATATATATA